CACTTCCCCCCTTCAGTGGAATACCATTCACCTGAAAATTGTGTGGCCCAAACCTGCTAGATTTAGCATGGAATTCTGGGAGTTGAAGTCCACTCATCTTAAAGGGGCCAAGTTTGGACAACACTGCACTACATGAACGGGTGTGGGTTTATTCTCCAGAGCACCTGAGGGTAAGAGAAGAACTAGTGGGTGACAGCTTTACAGAGAGAGATTCAAACTCAGAATAAGGAGGAATTTCCTGAATGTGAGAGCTATGAAGCCATGGACCAGTCTGCAGCCTAGAGCTGTGGGGGCTTTCAAGCAAAATGGAGCAGCCATTTGTCTAGGATGGTCTGAGGATCCTTGCCCTGGGGAGGAAGGTTCCCTTCCAACCTAGGATTCTGTAATTCTATGTTTCACATATTGTATGGCAGCAAATTCAGATTTGCCCTGAGTATCAACTTGAAAAGAAGTCATAGCAATTCCCAGCTTTATGAATAATATACTTGTGTGTTGCTGATTGCCATGTTCACACTCTATATATAGAGGAACATTCTTCAAACATCTTGGATGTTCATCTAAAATGTGATATCTGAAAAGATCCAAGCGTTAATGTGGAACAAATCTTTTCTTCGTCTTGTTCTTACAATCCTTTGCTGCAATGAGTTTTGAAGGTCTACTATTAGAAACTTGTATGTTAAAAGAAAAAAAAAAACTTCCACCCACCCTCCATATTTTATTATAGAATTATAGAATTATATTTACTATAGACTTGCATATTGCAAAATGTTCCTTAGTATATATTAGGAGGATATGTACTCGTATACACAGAGTATTAGTTCAGCTGCAAATCATTGGCTGGATTTTAAGAAGTTAGTCCCTCGCCATATAAATTATACCCTAAACTGCAACTGCTTATTGCAAAGAAAGAAGAAAGATGGGCATTAACTGAGTTACCTTGGAGGAAAAGGTGCCCATCATAACTCATGTTCTTTTTTAAAAAATCTCTAACAAGCTACCAGGAAATTGCACATGGCTTTAAAAAAAACCCTTGCTTTACTAAAAGACATTGGAATATGCAAATCTGCTTTTGTCTTTCATTAAGTCTCATAAGATTTTGACAGATATTCCAAACTGTAGCACATTGTATGGAAGATGGAGGAGGGAGAGAATGAGACATTAAAAAGGCTGTATGCACGATCTCCATCTGTTGATCATTCTTTATGTACAAGCAATTTGCACCAAGGTTTTGCACTGTATGATTATAGATTCAGCATATAAGATGCCATTGGAAGGGGCTGAGTTTGACCTGGTGGACCAGTCCTTTTTCTCTTCCCAATCTCTTCTCTATGTTTCCTTCCTTCCTTCCTTCCTTCCTTCCTTCCTTCCTTCCTTCCTTCCTTCCTTCCTTCCTTCCTTCCTTCCTTCCAAATGGAAATAGATTATAACATTTTCTAGGCAAATTTCCCCCATTTTCTATCTCAGTTCTATCTGAGGAAATTGCTTCACTTTATATTTTGGAAAAATCACTGGACATTTAGAAAAATTCAAATACATGCCTTGGATATAGCGATTTTCAATTAAATGCTTCTGAAATGGTTCTTTCCTGGCAGCCCAGAAAGATGCATGTATGGGTTCATGCCAGATATAATTTATGGTGGAACTATCTCTGCTATAAAATCATAGGATCATAAAATGTGAGGGCTAGAAGGGGCCTTCAAGATCATCTACTCCAATTCCCTGCCTTGTACAAAAATCCAATATTATAGCAGGGTGCCTGGTCCCAATTTTTATCCTAGTACCTTATCTTCTCCCTCTCCTACAATGGCTCTTTTTTAAAGAAGAAGCTGCAAAGATAGCTTATGATACACAATGTGGCACCCTTGAAATATGTTGGGACTGCAACTCCAGTAGTCTCCAGCCACTTGGACTTCTAGTATTTGCAGTCCAAACACATCTCAAGAATTCTAGTTTGGAGTTGCTAACAGCTTCTGAGCCCATTACTATAAACCCCCTCTATTCTATTGAGTTACTATTAGAATATCCTCATCTGACCTTCTGCTCTACAGCTTCTGATTCACCTCTGTGGAATCTTGCTTTTCATAGAGTGACTACTATGCAGAATTGTATGTAGTTTGCATATCCCATATCTGAATGATCTCAGCCCTAGCCGTTCAGCCCCAATTGGTTTTTAAATGACCAAGTGTGCTCCTACCTCAACATTCTTTCTACTCAACCAGCAAGAGGGCAGGACTTGGACAACAGTAGAGCAGCAATGCCAGAGGCACCTGTAGAAGGGGGAGATCAAGAAAGTCAAGATGGTGATAGTGACAACTTGGTTGAAATTCTGTCCCTTTTAACGTGTGTTGCGAGTCTTCAATTGTGCAGTCATGGGTGCCATCTTGAAATTTTTACCTCTCCCCCTGGTGTCCCCTGAGTAATGCCAACTTGTTCTGCTTCCTAAGCAGAAAACCTTGAGTAACATCTATTTTCAAATGTCCTCTATTTCCCCTCTTTCAAATGTCTCCTCTTTCAAGACAGAGTTGGAAGAGACATTAGAGGTCTTCTAGTCCAGTCCTCTTCCAGGGCAGGGATTCTCAGACCTTCCCAGACAAATGGCTGTCCAACCAAACCTCCAGTGATTGAGCCCCATGGCTCCAGGAGGCCAGCTGCTCCACTGCTTAATTGCTCTTGTGGTATGGAAATTGCTCCTTTTTTTTGAGTTGGATGTCACTCTGTAGAGCTTCCACCCATTGGGTTTTGGGTACTAGACTTTGGGCACTACAGAAAACAAGTCCACTTCTTCTCGTGATCCTTTTTCCAAGGATTGGTAGACTGCTATCATGTCTCCCCTCAGCCTTCTCTCCTTTAGGTTAAACTTACCAAGTTCCTTTAACCGCTCTTTGTAGGATTTAGCCCCCACGACCCTCACCATCTTTGTTGCTCTTCTCTGCCCTCCTTCCAGTTCCTCAGCATCCTTCGGGAGTTATGGCGACCAGAACTGGACCTAGTATTCCAGGTGTGGTTTGTCCAGTGCAGCAGAGAGTGGAACGATGACTTCCCATGCTCTCAACATTATGCAAGATTTCACTGATTCTTTTGGCAGCTATAAAATACACTGTTGGCTTGTGCTTATGACTACAGCTTTTTATTTCCTCTGGAGCCAAAGAGGGGGTTCACTGGTTATTTCCTAAAACATCCTTGTGAATGTGCAACACCTGAGTCCTTTCCTAGTAATGTTAACATGGGATTAAAGTAGTCTGAATCTTGAGATGTGCGGTCACACCACATAGCAGAACTCAACCCGTATTTCCCTTACAGAAGCAGAAAATTGGATGAAGCCTTGTCAACTGATCGAATTCTGTTAAAGCTGCATGGACATATCCAAGATGCTTATTCTTCTCTGAAGAAGGCCTTCCTGATGCTTGACAGAGTAAGACTATTTATAAAATGCACCTCTCCTCCCTCCCCACACCTGCACAATTATTCTGATCTGTGTTTGAGGTTTTTCAGACATCTTCCACTGAGTTGGCCTTAACTTACTCATGTCAACTCACAAAGCAGGAGGTTATTAGCCAGGGATATTAAACTTCCCTCATTCAGCTCAGTGTGGACAAAGACACTGAGATGGCGGTAGTCATTTAAAATCTATTTAATTAAAAGCATTTAGCTTGATGAAATACCTTTAATTTGGGGATATTAGGTTTTTTGTATTAGCTGGAAGGAGTTCTTGTAAGTCAGAAGGAAATTACCAAAACTAAAGTAGAGATTGTCTAATTTAATTCAATTAAAGTTCTCTGATTGTGTTAAATAATTTTAGTCAAATATAGCTTAATTTATTATACTCAATTAACCAGAGTGGTTGTACAAATTGGTCAGACAACTAGAACTTTGGAACAATTGTTTTGAGGACTGGAAGTTTGCAGCATCTGTGGAAGACCAAGTTTGTTAATAGAGATAACAAGAAAGTTAACTTTGTTGTACTGAACCTTACTATTTACCATATGCTTTTATTGACCTTTAAATACAATGAATAATTCTCTCAACTTCCTATTCTTTTGAATAAACATTTTATTCCCCAGATTATCTTAAATTTAGTTTACACAGATCAGTACATTTAAAAATCTGAAGTGTTTGGAAATTGCCTTGATTTCAGCAAAGCATTCAACAAAGTCTCCCATGAAATTCTAGTTGCATTGACCATCAGGAGATAGCACATGCCTGGTTTCACCCTCACTGGGATTCATCAGATATGGATAGCTGGATGTGGTTCTATGGGGTTCAGACCCTCTACTGGGAACTGAACTCACAGACCTTCACATGTTATATAACTATATACAGTACATTAGTTTTAGGAGCTATCCAGATCCTGGTGCTCAGTGGTTTGCAGGAAGGGATGTATAGAAGCTATCAGAAAGCTATCTGTCTGTCTGTCTGTCTGTCTCTATCTCTATCTCTATCTGCTCTGAGAGGTTCAGGAAAGGTCGACTGTACCTACCATTCTGATAGCCAGGAAATTCTAGTAGAGAAAAATGACAAAATAAGGGCTGGATCATTAGATAGATACCAAGTTGGTTGAACAATTGAACCCAAAGCATGTACATCGATGGCTCTGTATCAAGCTGGAAGGAAATCTCAAGTGGCATCCCACAGGACTCACTTCTGAGCCCTATGCTGTTCAATATATGCATACATGACTTGGATGGGGGGTTATCAGATTTGCAGTTAACACAAAGATGGGGAGCATTGCAAACACCTTAGAGGACTGTATCAAGAAGAAACTAGTAAGATGAACTTCACCAAGGAGAAATGCAAAGTCCTTCAGTTGGGTAGGAAAGATTCAAGGCATGGGTATTGAATAGCAGGACCATACTGGGCAGCAGCACGTTAAAGGATCTGGGTGTCTTGATGGAACATAAGTTGAATATGAACCAACGGTGTGATGCAGCTACAAAAACAGCAAATGCAACTCTAGGCTGCATCAACAGAAGAGTCATTCTACTGCTCTGTTTTCCATTGCTTAGATCCATACCTAGAACACTGTGATTAGTTCTAGGAGCTCCATTTTAAGTAGGACATTGACAAAGTGGAGCATGACTAGATGACAGCAACCAAGATGATCAGGGACACAGAAGGAAAAAATATGAGAACTAATTGAAGACATTGGATAGCTTGGGAAAGAGAAGACTCTGTGGAGACCTGAAAGCTGTCTTCAAATATCTGAAGGGCTATCAACATAGAGAGTAAGGAAGATTACATTGATGGAGATATGCAGGAATCATTGCCTAGCTAAAAGGGGCTGAAGCATTTCTCATCAAGAGAAACGAGATAATTCTCGGAAGTGGCTCAAGCAGACGCTTCCTAATCCGCTGAACTATAAAAAGGAGGAGGAGAAGGTCGAGAACAGTCAGACTTGCAAGATTCTGTTATTATGGCTAATCTCAATAAAAGTAATTTTAGCCTTCCTATGGAGTTGATTTCCTAGGTCCACCTAGTGCGGCTGAGCGCTGTGTAGAAGAGAGGGCAGAATTGTTCAGATTTGTTCCTGAAGACAGGATAAGGAACAGTGGGGCTTAATTATACAAGGAAGTAGATTTCAGTTGGGCACCAGAAAAAGGAGCTGTTCAACATTGGAAGAGGCTGCCTCAGGTGATGGTGGTCTCTCCTTCACCAGAGGTGCTTAAACAGAGGCCGGATAGCATCTGTTGAGATGATGCAGTAGTAGATTCTTACTCAGAGCAGCGGGAGGACGAGATGATTTCCTTGACAGATCTTACATTCTGTAATTCTGTGCTTCTGTGGCAAAGCAGAATGCTTCCTGTTTTCATGGCCATTTTTACTAGTGACTAGAATTTGGCTGGACAACCTGCAACACGTACAGATCTTGGAGCCACAGAGAACCTTGCTCACTTTTCCACGGGCCAGTTGATCCTCTTCCTGGTGCGAAGCAGATTGCTTGGTTTCCTTCCGTTAATGAAAGAAGGAAGCCAAGCGACTTATTCCTGGCAGCCAGCTGATCAACTGACTGGCAGAGACCAGACTGCTGTTTCCCTGTGATTGGTGACAGCAGGAAACAAGTGATGATCTGCAGTGGGATGTTGAGAAAAAGGGAGAGGAGGGGAAAATGGGACGAGTAGGATGTGTGTGTGCGTGTGCACGAGAAGTGAGCATAAGGAGCCAGGGACTGGCACGCCAGAGTGAGTCTTGGGGGTGGAAAGATTGGCAGCCCCTTATTTAAAATCTCATCTTGTTGGATTATTTTTCCAGCAAGTCCTTCAAAAGCAACAATCTATTGAGAAAACCAATGCTTAACTCTTTAGCAGCCATCAGAAGGGCACATGCAACCCACCTTCCTCCATCTCTCAGAGTAGAGAGGGACGGATGTCACCTTGCCTCAATATCCCATGTATGAGGTTTTATATGAATCCCAGCCCCAGCTCTTGGGGGGGGGGATTTCTCTGCTTTTATCCAGGGTCTATACCGTGTGCTATTTTTAGTTCTGTTGACTACCAGGAGGCAACGTGGGACTGATTTCATCCATGCTGGGTGTTGTCAGATGGACATAGCCAGATCTTTTCTATGGGGTTCAAACCCTCTACCAGGAATTGAACTCCTGACCTCTCTACTTTGAGAGCTTCAGGGAGGTGAAAATAGTCAGCGTTTCTCCACCTTGGCAATTTTAAGATGTGTGGACTTCAACTTCCGGTCAGGCAGAGAGGGCATGTTGCAGACCCCGTGAGCGAGAGCAAGTTGGCTGGCAGGGCCCAGGAGGAGAGCCTTCTCTCCCGTTGCCCCCGCCCTTTGGAATAGTCTCCCCCCAGAGATGCAGCAGGCCCCTACCTTCCCAGCCTTCTGGAAAGGATTAAAGACCTGGCTCGCATGGGGGGATAACAATCTTACTCAATCCTGGGGGTAGCTAGCGCCTTGATGATGCTCCCTTGAGTGACTGCCAATTATTCTTGGATCAATGTATTGTTGAAGGCTTTCACGGCCAGAATACGATGGCTGGTGTCCATCGTATTGACATCGTATTGACACCAAAACAAGCAGCCACTCGTTAACCCCCACCCCCACCCCTTCAGGCACCCTCGCTGATCTCTATAAATACCCACAAAAAGGGTCACATCATCCTGGACGCAGAGAGAATTGCTCCTGTCTGTGCTCCTGCTCTCTGAAGATGCCGGTCACAGATGCTGGCGAAACAAAACTTCCAGAACACGGCCACACAGCCCGGAAGACCCACACCAGCCATCGTATTCTTGGAGCATTTATTTTCTATTTATTAATAGCGTCATTCAATGAGATGGGCAGTGACAAATTGGATATATAAATAAAATAAATAAATAAATAAAAACTTCCAGAGTTCCCCAGTCAGCGTACTGGCTAGGGAATTCTGGGAGATGAAGTCCACCCATCTTCAAGTGGCCAAGGTTGAGAAACCCAGATCTCAAGTATGAAGGTCCATGAATTCCATTCCTGGTAGAAAGTCTGAGCTCCACAGAAAAGATGTGGCAACATATTTCATCCCAATAAGGATGAAACCAGTCATGTATTGTCTCATGGTAATCAGTTTAGGACAGTGTTGTCCAAACTTGGCCACTTTAAGATGAGTGGACTTCAACTCCCAGAATTCCCCAGCCAGTACGCTGAAGTCCACTCATCTTAAAGTGGCCAAGTTTGGACAACACTGGTTTAGGAGGAAGAAGAATTGGAAAGCGATCACTTGCTCTTCCACCCGTGTCCACTGTCAGCTACAATATTTCCCTTGGGAGTCAGCTTCTCACTGTTCCGTATGCTAAATCAACCCAAGAAAATCCATACCGTTCTAGACAACATCAGTTATAGATCAACTGTGAACAGAAGAGTGCCATTTTTCCTCCTGTGGTGGGCAGATAAAGTGTTTTCTTACTCTGATTTCGATTTCTTCTTTTGATTTTCTACCAACTTTTGGTAACCATTGCATCTAAAACAGCAGATAAATGGGGGTGGGCAGGGTAGATTGGAATTAAAGTTTTCTCCGTCTGGATGGCACCAGGAAAGTGAACAATTCCTACTGGCATGTTTGCTCTGGGTTTTGATATAAATGTTAGATTGCAATTTTTGGCTAATGGCTTTACATAATCACTGCTGCCTCTTTCGTAGCGGCATTGGCGCTTGAATTGCATCAGAAATCTTCACCGAAGAGAGAATTCTCTGAACATTTTTGCAGAGTAGAGTTCTGTTTCATGTACCACCCTGGGTAATAGGGGCACATTAACTCCCCCAGTCGAGCAAGAGCTTAAGCCTATTAAAGCTGCAGAGTGCTGAAACCTTCAAGAAAGAAAAAGATTTCATAGCCAGAATTATTGAAGCTATGAAAGCTTTACAGGGGATTTAGGACTGGCTCATGTTATCTGGAGGCAGCTAGACGGATACCTCTGGACACCAGTGGCAGTTTGTGGTGGGGGCCATTTCTGCAGAGGCAACATTTGACAGTCAGCGTGGTGTTGTGGTGAAGATGTTGGGGTAGGATGGGGGAACCCAGGTTCAATTCCCCTGCCCCCCAGCTGTGGAAACTCATGGAGGGGCCACTCATGGTCTCTTAGCCCAACCAACCTCACAGATTGATTGTGGGGAGAAAATGAAGGGAGGTTCCCATGTAAGCCATCTTGAGCTCTTGGTAAGGTCCGGAAAATGTTTCTAATTCTCAGAATATTTCCTATGGCATGTCCTCATTAAACTATCATTCCCTTGTAAGAAAAAAAAAATAGTTTCTAAAGGGTAATAGGTAGGAAAGATAGTTTCCCTCAGATTGAGTTTGACTCCTAAAAGTAACTTTATTTATTTACCTAAAAGTAACTTTATTCATGCCTTTTTCTTGGCAACAAAGTGGTTTCCTGGATTTTTTTTTTTCTTTATCTTTTTCTTCCCAGTTTAGCCTACAGTCCTGAGATTTCACTGTGGTTTCCCATCCAAGAACTAACCAGGACAAATAGGGACTACCTAAAAATTATGTTTCCCCAATGGGAAATAAGCAGAAAATAAATGAAACGAAACCAAAAATATCTTACCTTGGTAAAGAACACCCTCCAACCCGTTGCTTGCAAATAGGGTGGTATTTTTGGTGTGTGTTTAACAATGGAATAAATCATTTGGTTGTGTATTTTGTGAGTTATTGACTGCTTTTAATTTTTCTTCTCGAGATGATTTCAAGCAATTAGATCCATTTCCATGGAAAGATATTAAAGTATCATAATAGTTTTGCTAGGCTGGACTCCCCCCCTCCCCGATTGGGCGGAAACAATAAATCCTGGGCCTCCCTGATCAGAAGGGAAGGAATTTCCTTCACCCTTTTTGCATCTACAAAACTCCAGAATTGTTGGAGCGTGAAGGCCAGAGGCGTTGGTCTCTAACCCCTTTCCTTTCTTGGCGGCATCAGCACTGAATTCCTCCTACCCAGTTCCCCTTGCTGGGCACAGAACTTGAATGAAGAACTGGCTAGAGATTCATATAGAACCATGACAAGCAATCTTTTAGTAGCAAATATCTGCACCTGAAGCATTTAAGGACTTCAATGCCCATCAAGTCCACCATGACGCAGCCCTGGAGTAATGTACATCAGGGGCCATCTGGCCATCCTGCATGGACATCTAGGGAATGCCTGCAGAATTAAGCAGAGTCTGGACTCGAAGGCTCACCTTCTCCAGGGTGGCCACCACCCATTGAACCTGCTGCCCCTGGAGGTTAGCCTGGTCATGATCCTCCTGGCATTTTGGAAGGCACTGAAAAACTTACTTTTTGAATGGACCTACGAAGCATTTTTTTTCAGCGTCCTTTAGTCTTATGTCTCATGAATTAAGGTTTTTATCCTGATTTTATGGATAGGGATGAATGGGTCCTTTTTATTGGATTCTCGTTGTTTGTTTTGTGCCCTTTTCTGGTCCTTGAGAGCGAACAGTATGAAAAGGAATGGAAAGAAGGAAGGAAGGAAGGAATAAAAGCCCACACCTCACCTCTTGGCAGAGCTAGGATTTTTAAAAGATCCTTTTTTCCCCTTCGACTTAAACTGGGAGATGCCTGTTGCAGTGTCCTTGACTTCCACTTCAGTTATTTCTTTCTTTCTTTTTCCAATGTATGTATCTGCCCATCTTAAATACATAACTCTGAGCAGCTCACAGACAATTAAAAGCAGTACTAAAGCACCAAAACAATGCAGCGATTTAAGGACAATAAAAATAATATAAAAATGACATAAAACAAATTTCATAGCTGAGATCATCATTTCCATTGATAGCAATCAATTCACCCGCTGTACAGACTCTGCCATACTCCCGGGTCCCCGCGCCCATTGGCAAAACCACATTTTCAGGGCTTTGCAAAAAGCAGCAGGGTTGGGGCCAGTCTGATCTCTGGGGGGATGATGTTCTGCAGGGCGGGAGTCACAACAGTCTCTTCCTGGGCCCCTCCAGACGACACTTCCTGGCTGGTGGGACCCGCAGCATGCCCCTCCTGCACAACCTGATGGGACGGGTAGATGTGATTGAGAAGATCAGTGCTCAATAACCCAGTCCCATGCCATGACAGGTCATCACCAGCACCTAGAATTGAACCTGGAAGCAAACTGGCAACCAAAGCAGCCAGCAGAGCAGAGGTGTAATGTGCACTGATTGAGGGGCACACATACTGTAACTGTCTTCATAGCTGCATTTTGCACCAAATACTCTTCAAAGGCAGACCTACGTACAGCACATTACAGTAATCCATACAAGAGGTCACCAAGGTGTGAGTGACTATGAGTGCCTCCTAGTCCAGGAACGGGTGCAACTGGTATACAACACGTAGTTGTGCAACGACCCTCCTGGCCACGACTGCCACCTGTTCCTTGAACAGGAGCCATGAGTCCAGAAAGACCCCCAATTGTACACAGGCTCTGTTTGGGGTAGTATAACCCCTTCCAGAATAAGAGATAGAAGGTCTCCAGAACCAGGGGGCCCAACACCCAAACCCACTCGGTCTTGCTTGGGTTGAGCTGAATCCTGTTGTTTCCCATCCAAATCCCCACAGCCTCCAGACACTGAGACAGGACCTCCACAGCATCACTTAGTTGGTCCAGGGTGGATACATAAAGCTGGGTATCATCAGCACACTGATGGTACCTCACTCCACGTTGTCAGATGATCTCACTCAGCAGCTTCATGTAGATGTTAAACAGGAGTGAAGAAGGTACCGAACTCTGCAGCACCCTGCAAAGCAGGGGTCAAGGGTGGGACCTCCCCCCCCCACATTAACCCCAACTGGAACCAGCCCTGGAGGAAGGCAGAGGACCAGGGCAGCCCAGGGCCACCCAGTCCCAGTCCCCAGAGCTGATCCAGAAGGATATCGTAGTCAAAATCTGTGCTGTCCTGGCCCAAGTGGTCTCTTAGGGCTCCCAAAATGAACTGGAGCCACACATTGCCCAATCCTTATATACAGGGAGAATGTTGTTACAGCTGGTGAAAAGTAAAAATCATTATTTATTGATGACTCATAATTTGGACATTTATAGCAACTCTTCCATCATTGCAAGTGGAGACCATCCTTACATTAGCATACGTCTGGAAAATTATACTGTAAAACAATTAAAATAAATAAGTCACTGCCTAGTAGAGTAAAGTAGGATTGAATACCTTGTGTATTTGAAAAAAATAGAAAATACGTTGTGGGATTAATGCTACCTTTTAATGCTATTAAATGCTCTGCTTATGTGTTTAGAACCAAGATGGGAAAATCACGAGGAACGAGCTTCGCCGCATTTTAGATTGTATCATGTTCCGAATAAGTGACGATGACTTCCAAGAACTAATCAAGATCATTGATCCAGAACACACTGGACATCTCAGCTACAATAAGTTTTTAAACCTCTTTGAAAAAGATTCCATAGTAAGGGTCCATCACTAGTTACTCACCTACATTTCTTTCTGGTGCCTGGGACAAAGTGCACTGAATGTATTTAAATTATTAAAATCAGAAGCAAAGGTGTAAAAGACAGCTAGCTATTCCTGAGCTGGGGTGGGGGCAGGCTTTCAACAGATACTACTATATGTTAATGCCTAGCATTCACCTCGCATTCATCTGGCTCACCTTGAAAGCTAAGTCATGCTGTGGCTGGGGAGAACTTAGTCCCGTGAAGTTTCAGAAGAGCTCAACTTGGGGGAGTCCCCCTTTCTGACAACAACAGGTCATGTACTGATCTTGAGAAAGTTAAGTAGGCTCAGGGCTGAGTATCCTGAAACATGGCAATGCAGGGGTGTGGCAAACCCTGCATAAGATACAGGTGGAGCTTCAGTCACACCACCATGGCTGCCATCTTGATTTTTTGTACCATATCCTGCAGACACCCTTGTGGTGGTGGAAAACAACTTCTGTCTTCTTGCTCAGAAAACCACATGGACAAGTTTGTGAAGCCACCAGGAATCAAACCTGATTTGGAGGAGCTTTACTACTTATGATACTATTGATTTACTATCAGTTTACTACTGAATGCATCACCATTTTTGCTCCACCCAGCAGGCAAGGGAAAGATAGGCAGTATCAGTAAATTTCAGGCTTTGGGAGATTCTGAGCATGGAGTCTTTGCTTTTGCTCATTTTAATCTCCAGGCTTATTAGTGGCCCAATTGCCAATAGCTACTCTGAGTTGTTATGAATCAGCCATGTAGGTGCACAAAAGTCCCATGACTGGTGTGTTTCTGCTTATTTAAGAAAACCGAAACTCAAATCGAATCCGATTGGTTAAGCTTACACTTTTCAAGCTATGCTATTGAATCACCAGCTTTATAGTCCTCTGAAACACACATGCCTGTCCTTGGCTGGGACTGGGGCAGGCTGTCAATAAATTGTTAGGATGTAATATGCGACCACCGATTTTCCCACATTGTGCGTACTGCCGATTTTCAGAACCTTTCTGTTCTCTCTGACCTTGATCTTTAGAAACAGTAGGAAAGAATTGTAATTCGACTTTTTTTCAATTCAATTAGACAGATTCAAAGTGGGCTAGTGGTTCAAAGAAGGCTAAAAAGCCGACTTCCGTCCTTGAAGCGTGGAATATTGTAAGTAACAAAATGTTTTCTTTTAAAAAGTCGCTCAAGATATTTGGTTTATTTGACGGTATAATTTTGCAATGCTGCAACTCTCTGTAACTTGAATTTCCTTGTTTAAATGGTTGCACGCTAGGCCGAAGATGTTCTAACTGAGCAAGTGAAGGGATATTGGAATGAATTTAGCAAAGCTTTGCAGGCATGTGATCCTCGAAGTGATGGCATTATTAGCAGAAATAATTTCCGAAAAGTTCTTCAGCTCTATTGCCCCTCATTAACTGATGACCATTTTATTGCGTAAGTAAATATTGGAGCAAATGACATTCCTTTCAAACGTGTTTACTTTCTTCCCTGCATTTTATTCTCATCTCTCTTTGAAAGTCACCATTATTTGGCTATTTATTGTCATATACCTTGGTAAATGCAGAGCCTCTTCAAGTCCAAGAATAACATCAGTTCCTAGAAAATTTCCACCAAGGAGAAAACCACACCCCCACCAACACTGGCAAGGCAAGCTATTGTATATAAACAGGGAGCAAACCCCACAGTCACCAGCACTGATGGTGTTACCTAGTTGGGTAATGAAACGTCTGCAAGCTCGGAGAGCACCAAGGACTCCACTGTGCAAAATATTTCAGTTCTGAATTGCTTTGAATTAGTAGTACCCCATTTCAAGTGCACAAGGATGATTTTGAGTGCCAATCAAAATACGTTGGTCATTTGGAAGTGCATCATGCTTGAGCAGAGCTGATTTAAGCTCAGAATACCTACCAAATGATTCAAACAGCCTACTTCACATTCATTCAGCTCTTTCACACTCAGAATAATTAGAAACATAGACTCCTGGGGTTGGAAGGGAGCTTGGAGGTCATCTGGTCCAACCTCCTGTCCAGGGCAGGAATTCTCAGACCGTCCCAGACCAATGGCTGTCCAACCCTTGCTTGAAAACCTCCAGCGATGGAGCCCCCATGACTCCAGGAGGGAGGTTGTTCCTCTGCTTTATAGCTTCCACAGTCAGGAAATTCCTCCTTATTTTGAGCTTGGAACTTCTCTGTAAAGCGTCCTCCCTTTGGGTCTTGTCCTACTACGGAGGCACTATGGACTGTAAATCCGCACCCTCTTCCCTGTGACAGCCCTTCAAATATCATAGACTGCTATCATATTTCCCCTTAGCCTTCTCTTCTTTAGGCTAAACATACCCATTTCAGATTCAACATGGTTTCAGTTCAAAATGTTTTGCACATTACTACACCACAACATCGACTTCACTGCCATCACATTTTGACCCGGAAGTTGTATATTAATCTGCTTTGCTGCAAATATTTCCTTTGAGGTAAAGTATGCTTTTGTTGATGAAAAAGAAATTCCCTGGCTGACAGCGATCTTGGTTCCTATTTATTAATTTGTGGACTCCCCCTAAGCAATGCGCTAAGGATAATAGACCAAAGAAATAGGACTCTCTGTCAGTTATGCAGTGATGTCTCGGCATTATGTTATCCTAGATAGTTTTACAATTGAATTCAGGATAACATAAGCACAGCGCTAAAGAGGAAAGCAGCAAATACAATATTTGCATAATACAAGCTATTTTGAAAGAGAACACAAATAGAATATTGCTGAACAGTTACCTTAGCCTTTTCTAAACAGCACTTTTTAATATACAGTATGGGCATTTCGTAGGAAGAAGCGCTGATTTTTGTTTCGACCTCCTTTGCTGTGGTATCTGGGCTTGCAACCCAGGGCTGTCCTAGCCATCAGGAGGCAATCAGAAGTTGTGATGACACCCCTGGATCGGAGGAAAGGTTTGCAGAATTCCTCACTCCGCGTACGGAGAAAGGCATGTTGCCAAACTGCCAAAACCGGCCATCGCCCGTGGTCCGAAGGAAATTGATATCCCAACAGTGGTATTTCAGCTGCCACCTGCAAGCCCAGAAGGTCATTTTTAACTTCAGTGAAATGTCCCCAGTCTGTGAGCGAGACGGCGAAGATACTGTGGCAGTGCGGGAGTGTCAGTTGCAGAAGAGTTGCGATGCTGTGCCCATTCGCTTGCTTGCCCTTACGGAACATGGTTGTGAAACTGTCTGGAGCTGCCAACATCATGTCGTTGCAGTGGACGGGTGCAGAAGCTTTCACACTTTGAAGATGGAAAGTAGCTGAAGACCAATGACAATGGCCCATGTGCAACTTCTCAAGCGGAAACTGGTCATCTGAAGTCTGCCTCTGAAGTTATCACCGAGGCATGTTGCTGGAAAGGTGAGAAGTGAATGGAAGAGGCTGTTGTACATTCCAGAGTTCTTCCCACCAGCAAAGGGATGTGAGAGCTGTGCGTGGGAGTTGCGGTTGTGTTTGATGCGAATCCTGGGAATGCGCTGTAAGAAACGTCTGTTGAAAAATCCTCCCATGGAATCTAGTTAGTGGCAGTAAGTCGGTTGTTGCTGCTTCTCGGAGCAAAGTTACAACACAGCAAGAGATGTCTTGAATTAATACTCAGAGCTGCAGTGCTGGGTCCTATGTGCTTGGCATGAGTTGAAGAAATCCGAGAAGGCACCAAGGAACAACTGAAGAGCAAACTTCTGGAAGTTGACTCAAGGGTCAAAATCCCTGAGAATCCAAACAATATGGTGGGTGTGACTGGACAGCAAATGCTGAGTAGGTGTCAGGCCTAGCCCAAGGAACTCCAAGAGACAATGCAAATTCAGTTCAGCTATGTTTATTAGCTACAACCACTAGCAAGAATCTCCCCAGACTGAACCCCCATCTCCCAAGTCAGCCAGCCACAACAGTGTGAATTCCTCAGGGAGGTGCCAGTCTCATCCTCTTGTAGCTCCCACGCTCCTCCGGCGAGCTGAGAAAATGTTTATCTCTCTGAGCCTGGCCTTCATAATTCCATGCCATCACATCAGGCATTGAAATTTGCCAGCTACTTATGTAATAATAAACCTAACTACTGTTGAGTCTCCAATGAACTACTGTTACTTCCATGGACTTGAGGAATACCTTTGGACAGGTGGAAAATCTAAAGGGAAGTTGGTTGTAGAGAGTCACCTTGGAGAAACTATGCAGAGATGTTTCAACAACACGTCCATGAATATGCTTGAAGCCTGGGAAACAAAAAAAACCTGTAGAAACTCAGACTAGCTGTGGCCTAACTCCAGGGAATAAGAGGGAGGAAAAGGAAAATACAGGCAGACTGGCAAGATTCTGTTACTTGAGCTCTCTCAATAAAGGAGATTCCAGTCAAACTTGTGCAGAAGATTTCCTGACCTGGCCTACCTTAAAGGGCTGATGCTGGTTAGAGAAACTTCTATCCCATGAGGGTCTCCATGGGAAGTCACTTGTCTAGTCCAGACAAAGAAAACTGAGGACCTCAGAGCCTGAAGCCAAGGTCAAGAATGGAACAGCTGCTAAAAGCATAGAACCAAGTTGACTGATTACAGTGAAGGGGTTTTATTGGGGTCTCTTCACCCATATTATGGAATAGTTTCCTGACTGATAACGAGGACAGCCACCGTGGCGCTGATCTTCTGGAAACTGCTCAAGACTGAATTGCTCCAGAGAGCCTGTAGTGAATGAGACAACGCTGACATACGGGAGATGGTTTTATATTTGATTCGTGTATTTTTAAGGATTGGTTTTATGTTTACACCATGGATGTTTTATCGTATTATCGTATGTTGTTGTGAGCTACTGAAAGTCCTTTTGATTGCAGCAGGGACACATTGACTGAATGAATAAATAAATAAATCTTGTCAATTTGGTAAATTTCTGAGAATCAAGGCAACTTTCAGCAATATGAATGAACAGTGTGAACAAAAAGAATCCAAGAGCATCACAGGATATTTACACCTTCCACCTTCCATTTACTACTCTCTCCGTAAAGTGCTCTTATGCCAGAGGCCTGTAGGCTAAGTCCCTAAATTTCCAATAAATCCAGTACTTTAAACAGCAGAAAGTCAGATATACTGTTTTATTTCTGCAAACTGCCGAGTTGTAAGATTGTAGCAGGCTAGAAATCTAATAATAAAATAAGTAAAATGATTTTTAGCAATCTTGCCATCCAAGACAGTGCAAACATCTACTTTCCAAGATAGATAATTTCATGCCCCTTGCAGCCACTTATCATTAAGATGGCTAGATTCGTACAGAGTTTTATTAACCAGATGTCTTGAGAGGAAGGGGGTTAGGTTACAGAACCTGGGAAACTGGATCTATGTACTTGAGTGCCCCATCTGTCAGTAAGTGAGTTGGAGTGAGGATCCTCTTGCTGACTGCCTCTTGAAGCAGCGGGGAGGTTGCTGCTCTGATGCGGGAGGATGTGAAAATGTTCTGGCTGTGTATTGCTTTGCAAACTCCCATCCTCTTCCCCAGGCTCTGAGAAGCCCATTGCAAATAGTTGTGTGCAGTGTGGTCCTGGGGTATAGTGGGGCAGGTGCTGGACTAGGACTAGGGAGACCCTCAAGTCTATCCTCCATCATAGTTCAAATCCTTCAGCCGAGGAAAGGCAATGGGTGACTTTGATCTCAGGCTAACGTATTACAGGTAGTCCTTGCTTAATGACTGCCCTGTTTAGTGACCATTCAAAGTTACAATGATGTTGAAAAAGTAACTTTACAACTGGTCCTCGCACTTATAACTGTCGCAACACCCCTGCAGTCACATGATCAAGATTCGGGCACTTTGCAACTGGTATGCATTTACAACCGTTGCAGCATCCCATGGTCATGTGATTGTCATTTGTGACCTCCACAGCCAGCTTCTGACAAGCAAAGTCAATGGGGAAGCCAGCAATAAAATGTCAAGTCATGGTCACGTGATGTCTCACTTAATGACTGCAGGTGATTTGCTTAACAACCATGGTGGAAGTGACACCGTAATTCCATCAAAGGCACATGATGTTTTGCTTAGCATCCATGTCACTTAGCAACAGAGTTGCTAGTCCCAATTGTGGTCGTTAAGCGAGGACTACCTGTATTATGTGGATAAAATGAAGGGAAATTGTCAGATAAGCTACCTTGAACCTCTAGAACAGTGTTTCTCAACCTTGGCAGCTTTAAGATGTGTGGATTTCAACTCCCAGAATTCCCTAGCCAGCATTCTGGGAGTTGAAGTCCCAGATTCTGGGAGCTGAAGTTCACACGTCTTAAAGTTGCCATGGTTGAGAAACACTGCTCTAGAGGATAAGTAGAGTAGAAATCTGGAAAAAATTCTAAATGCACATATCCAAGTGCTATTTTGCTCCATCCAATTTTATTCTATCTGTTAATGAAAAAAAGACAAGTACATTGATAGGAATATAAAAATACAGTGAGAGGGGGCGAATGAGTTGCTGTAGACTACCCTTGTTTTGACAGCTCAGTGCTGTTTGGCATCAATCTTTCTAAAGCAAGGTTCCTCAACCTCGGCAACTTTAAGATGGGTGGACTTCAACTCCCAGAATTCCCCAGCCAGCCATGCTCAGTGCTGTTTGGCATCAATCTTTCTAAAGCAGGGTTCCTCAACCTCGGTCCACCCATCTTAAAGTTGCCGAGGTTGAGGAACCCTGTTCTAAAGAACCATCTCATGCAGTATGGTTGGCCCACCCATCTACCTGGATTTAATTTCTCTCTTGTGGGCTTCCCCCCCTTGCACCTAATCATGGCATCAGTATGGGTCTGCATGACATTCCCTGCTTCTTGTCCTCAGCCCAGAAGTGGGTAGCTTTGAAGTGTCCTGCTATCAAAGTGGACCTTCCCCCCCTTATTCTGACGCCATCCGCGGGCAGCCTCAAGGACTGCAAAAGACATCAATGTTACAAACTCTCCTCGGCGTTGTCTCCTCTTCCCTTGGAAGCAGCGACTAGAGACAGGGGCAAGAGAGGGAGGACAGGGCTCAGGAACGGGGGCAGCCCATTTCGGCTGTGGGGAAAGACCTTTGTCCAGATCCACCAGATTACAGCAAGGGACAGTGGACGGCAGTCGCAAGCACGGAGCTGCCAAGAGATTCCAGATCCAATATTGCAACACGAGTCAAGTTGACACGACCTCTGAGTCGTGGCAAGTGGGTTGTAAGACCCTTGCAGGTTTTGTAATCAGGGGGTGTAGGTCAAGCATTTAGGGCTTCGTGATCTGTAGCAGGGAGCACTTGGACTTTAACGGGGGGCTCCGGTGCGTGTGGCAGCTTTTCCGCTGCCGAGACTGAGTGACTGGCGTGCTTGCTGCAGATGGTTATTTGGCAGGTGACGCTCAGCGTGAAAAGCAGTGATTTTACAGATATTTCATTAAATGCAGCTCTGCAGATTGCAAGCATCTTTGTATTTATTTTCTTTTCATGCTGGGATATGTTGGCATCAGCTGCAGCCTAAATGGTCAGTCCCGTTGGTAGACGTTCTTTCTCCCTTTAATATATTTTAAGTGTGGCAACTTAGGGTTTTTTCCCGCTTCAATAAAAATTAAAATCTCAAGTTATTTTCTGATACAGCATGTAGAACTGCAATAATACAAATCATCAGAAGCATTCACAGACCACTGGCAACCTTACATTTGAGCAAATGCATTTTATTTGCTGTAAAAAGAATGTTTCGCAACTATTCTTGAAGGGTTTTTTCCCTTAAAAAACTGTCCTCGTTTTTGTTTTTCTTTTTAAAATGGTGTTTATTCGACTTATTAATCACTTAACATGTTCAGGGAACTCTTCTGTCCCAAAATGCAACCCAAGAAAAGCCTATAGGATTTTAAAGCAGAAAGCTAGTTCTTGAAAAAGAGAAGGGAATCATTTAAGGTGTTTTGCACTGGCAATCGTGCATCTTTCCTCTTTATGACCAGTGAACTTCCAGTCCGTTAGCAGCACAAGCGTAGAAGAATCCTTTTGGATCCTTCCCAAAGAAAGAGCAGACCTTGGTACATGCACATAAACTGATAGAGACGGTTACGTTTATGAAATGTATTATTTATCAAGGAAAACAATAATCATAGTTGTTTTGAATCGGTGACGTACAGGCTGTACCAGAAATACCAGGATGGTACCACAGAAGGGGTCCTCTACAAGATGCTCTTGCACAGCTTAGGGGTGGCCGATTTGCCGAAGGAATTAACCGCTCTCACCAGCGCCCCTTCATCGCGAGAGAATCAGCAGGGAGAAGGAAAGAAGCCCGCGGACCCTCCAGACAGGTAGCCCACCTGTGACTGCTAACATAGAGGTGTAATAACTGCCCACAGGAAGGTTTAGCTCTGGAATGACCCACTCTTCTGGGTGTTCCTTTGATGTTCAGTCTGAAGAAGGACCTGAAGTTTTGCTCTTGTTGAAGCCTCCTGACTCCTTGGGGCTCTACAGAGTTCCCCACTCCTTGGACAGTGGCCTTCATCTGCTCTCAGCAGGTCGCAGCATCTCAGAGACCTAAACCAGTCTCAGAAAAGTAAGCAGGGTCAGACCTGGTTAGCAGTTGGAAGGGAGACCACATGGAAAGTCCAGGAGTGCAAGCTAGACTGGGAAGCTGAACATTTTCTGGAAGGCAGCAATAGCACACCACTTTGGTATTATTGCTTAAGAAAACCACATAGACTCAGTAGGAGTCTCTCTTGACTCAAAGGAGACTTTATCATTGTTTAATTTGCATATTTACTCCCCCCTTCTAGGTTGGGGCTGCAGTCAGACTGAATGCTCTTTAGTTGTCCTTGTGAGTGGGATGTTGATAAAGAATAGCTTTATTTTAACTGGAAATCTAGAGCTCTTGTAGCCAGCGGAGGCCTTGTCCTCCATAATGCCCAGCAATGTATTAAAGATCTGAATGGACCGTTTGTCTACATCAGTGTTTCTCAGCCTTGGCAGCTTGACACTGTGTGGACTTCAACTCCCAGAATTCCCCACCATCATGGCTGAATTCTGGGAGTTGAAGTCCACATATCTTTGAGCCGCCAAGGTTGAGAAACACCGGTCTACCTTGTTCTTGATGGATTCTTCTAGCCTGTGGAGAATGTGACGCCAAACACAGTTCTGGCTGTGGACTACCAGGATCTCAGTTTCACAGCAGAACTTGGAGAATTGCTCCGAGAAATTGATCAGCTGCAGACACAGAAAAGAAAGAAAAAGATATTATTATAACATCTTATAAGTTGTTTCTTCTTCTTCTTCTTCTTCTTCTTCTTCTTCTTCTTCTTCTTCTTCTTCTTCTTCTTCTTCTTCTTCTTCTTCTTCTTCTTCTTCTTCTTCTTCTTCTTCT